CCACACCTGGATGGTGGAGCCTACTATACATCTAGGCTATAGGGTACAGCCTATTGCTCCTTGGCTACAAACCTGTACAGCATGTTACTGAATACTGTAGGCAAGTGTAACACAATGGTGTCTAAACACATTTCAACACAGAAAAGGTACAGTAAAAATACAGTGTTACAACCTTATGGGACCTCATGTGGACTCATCACTGACTGAAACATTGTTATGCGGTGTGGACTGTATTTGGCTAAACTAGTAAGGTATGCTAATCATTCCTTATATTTCCTCTTTGTTTCAACTAGCACTAAGTTTCAACTAGCACTATTACTTCTGTTTATCCTTTTGTATTTTGTAGGCTGTCTTTTAGTCAGTCACCTTTAATCCTCTCTGGAAAATGTGGAGCATGTATGAATAAATGAAGCAAGCAGGCAAGCTCTGGGTAGACAGGGACTACTTGTTCAGCCACATATCCCCAGCACCTTCTACAGTGAAGGACAGAGTGATACCAAAAATACTTAACAACCAGAAAAATACAGACAAAGATACTAATCAGATAGAATTGTGCGGCTGAGCATGGTGGTTCATGCCTGTAATCCCAGAGCTTTGGAAGGCTGAGGTAGAAGGATTGCTTGAGCCAAGAGTTTGAGACCAGCCTGGGCAATATATCAAGACTTTGTCTCTTAAAAAAAAAAAAATTAGCTGGGCATCATGAGGTGATGCCTGTAGTTCAGGAGTTCCAGGTTACAGTGCATTATGATTGTACCACTGCACTCCTGCATGGGTGACAGAGTGAGAGCCTCTCTCTGAAGGAAAAAAATTGTAGAGGGAGAAGGGTGTCTGAAGGGTCCCAGAAAAGGGTCCTTCTGGAAAAGGAATGTTACTCAGGGGTTACAGAGCAGCAGCTGTTTACCAACCAGCAGGGAAGCATTTAAATATTTTTACAAACTCAATACAAATTTGAGTAAGTAAATATTTCTGGTGGCCCTTAAAGTTTTCACTGTGACACACTGTGCTGTCTGGGTAAACTCTCTAGAGAAAGCATGGCCAGCTCTGTCTCCTCAAGCAGAGGCACACAGAAGGCAGGCAAGGCGACCCCCCTCTTGCCATCGCAGGCAGCAGGTTTGGACCACAAACACAAGCTGTGCCAGAAAACAGTGGGTGACTCAGTCCATACATGAGCAAGAGAAGAGATGGAACAAGATGCCCTCTAAACTTCCTCTAGTGAGAGGCAAAGACACACAAGAAATATGGGTAAACCTCACAAGAGAAAATAGAAACCAAGTCAACCTCAACAGAAAAATGCTGATTAACTAGTGAGATAGTAATCCACGTATGAGAAAGGGACATTTCAGCAAGTCTTTGAGTCAACGAAAAGCTATGGAGCATGCGCAAACAGATACATGCTAAGTCAGAGGTTTTATAAGATCCTGGTGAAAAAAGACAAAAAGTATCCCTGTGATAATTACACAGGGGAAAGCCAATTCTCTGATGAGTGGTTCAACTTTTTTTTTTTTTTTTTTTTGAGACAGAGCTCTCACTCTGTTGCCCAGGCTGGAGTGAAGTGGCATGATCTTGGCTCACTGCAACCTGCAACCTCCGCCTCCCAGGTTCAAACGACTCTCCTGCCTCAGCCTCCCGTGTAGCTGGGATTACACGTGTGTACCGCCACGTCCAGTTAGTTTTTGTATTTTAGTAGAGACGGGATTTCACCGTGTTGCCCAGACTGGTCTCAAACTCCTGAGCTCAGGCAATCCGCCCACCTCGGCCTCCCAAAGTGCTGTAATAGGCGTGAGCCACCGCGCCCAGGTGACACACCACTTTTTAAAAATCACCAAGTGTGGCATCCATTGATGGCCTCCAGTACCTTTCTCCTTTTCCTCCTTTTAATTATAGCAACCCCCAAGTTTCAGCAGGGCACACAACTGCCTAGCTAGAGACTACATTCCCCAGCCTCCCTTGCAGAGAAGTGTGTCATGTAACTAAGCTTGGGCCAATGGGATAAGGACAGAAGTGATCCTACAGCATCTCCTTAAAGGTCCTTGCCAGGTATTCCCGCTCCACCTTCCCTTCCCTCTGGTTGGCAAATGGTGATGCCTGGAGCAACCTTGTAAGTCATGTGTTACGTGTCATATGTAAGTCATGTGTCATATGCAGAGCTGCCCATCAGCATAGGATAGCTAATATTAGACTGAAAACAGAAAAATAAAATCTTATTAAGCCACTTAATTTTTTTGTGGAGGGCAGAGAAAGATGATGGTGGTGTTATACTAAAATAGCACCTAACTAACCACTTTTCACACCTTCTCCTCTTACCTACCTTCATTTTATACTCAATACATTTGCATGTAACTCTTCCAATCTCTGCTTTTGAATCTGCCATTACATTACTGAGCTTCCACTATTCCTTACTTAACTGAACTTCTAAATCACATAGCCAGCCTCCTTTGAAGGCGTGGACTCTGTTGATGGAATACCGACAGTGCAGTGTGGGAGAGAGGGAAGTGGATTCAAAGGTCCTGCTTCTCACCCTGGGGGGTGGGGTAGGGCTTAGACAGACCCTCAGGTCCACTGACAAAGACCTGCAGCCAAAAGTAGCTCCCTAAAAATAAAATAAAGGCTAATATTAGGCCTTGTTTAGTTCCTTGCTTAAGGTCTTATAGCTTCCCTACCACGAATTTAAAACTCAGTTAATATAATGAAGGCAACTGGCAACATGGGTAAGAGTGCAGACCCTGGAATCAGAACCAATCTGGGTTTCAGTCCCAGCCTCACTCCCTGCTACTGATATGACTGTGGGCAAATTAACTACTCTGTCTCAGTTTCCTTTCCAGTCAAATGGGGATAATAGGGCCCTCACAGGGGAGCTATGAGAATTTAAGAAAATAATATGTGTTGAGTTACTTTGTAGACATACTACTAGAGGACTCACTAAATGTTAGTTCTTTTTTTTGAGACAGGGTCTCGCTCTGTCATCCAGGCTGGAGTGCAGTGGCGTGATCACAGCTCACTGCAACCTCCACCTCAGCACTTCCTGGGCTCAAGTGATGCTCCCACCTCAGCCTCCCAAGTAGCTGGGACTACGGGTGCATACCACCACACCTGACTAACTTTTTGTATTTTTAGTAGAGATATCTTGCCCAGGCTGGTCTCAAACTCCTAAGCTCAAGCAATCTGCCCACCTTGGCCTCCCAAAGTGCTAAGATTACAGGTGTGTATTAGTCCATTTTCATGCTACTGATAAAGCCATACCCGAGACTGGACAATTTGCAAAAGAAACAGGTTTAATGATTTACAGTTCCACATGGCTGGAGAGGCCTCACACTCATGGCAGAAGGCAAGGAGGAGCAAGTCACATCTTACGTGGATGGCGGCAGGCAAAGAGAGAGATTGGGCAGGGAAATCCCCCTTATAAAACTGTCAGATCTTGTGAAACTTATTCACTATCACAAGAACAGCATGCGAAAGGCCTGCCCCCATGATTCAATTACCTCCCACCGGGTCCCTCCCATAACATGTGGGAATTCAAGATGAGATTTGGGTGGGGACACAGCCAAGCCATGTCAAGGCATGAGCCACCACACCCCGCCACTAAGTGTTAGCTGTTATGATAACTCTGTGCCTTTCCACATGCAATTCCCTCTGCCTGGAATAACTTTCTCCTTTTGTTCACCTGGGGAATTCCTTCACATTCATTGTAACTCACGCTCTATGAGGACTTCCCAGCAACTCAATTTGCCAGAAGCAATCAATCTCCTTCATCTGTGCTACTGCGAAGTCACACATATCAAATCTACTTATCATAGTATATTGCACTTGAGTGTTTAAATTTCTGCCCCTCCTCACTATGGACATGACTCATATCTTATTCACTGCTAAATTCCAAGTACTTGGCAGAATACACATTGTAGGGTTTCATACATGTTTGCAATAATGAACTGAATACATCCTTGAATTCACTCTAGAATCAAACTACCTCTCCTCTGTATTAGAAATTTGGCCTAACAGGCCGGGCAAGGTGGCTCACGCCTGTAATCCCAGCACTTTGAGAGGCCGAGGTAGGTGAATCACCTGAGGTCAGGAGTTTGAGACCAGCCTGACCAACATGGTGAAACCTCATCTCTACTAAAAATACAAAATTAGCTGGGCATGGTGGCGCATGCCTGTAATCCCAGCTACTTGGGAGGCTGAGGAAGGAGAATCACTTGAACTCAGGAGGCAGAGGTGGCAGCGAGCCGAGATCACACCATACTGCACTCCAGTCTGGGCGACAGAGTGAGACTCCATCTCAAAAATAAAAAAAAAAGAAAGAAAAGAAAAAGAAATTTGGCTTAACAATTATGTCATTCTTTCTATCAAAAGAATTGTCCTAGCAAATTAAATCGATGCATAATTGTCATTGCTGATATTCTAAAAGGCAGTTATCTGAACATGAACATCTATAGAAATGTTCTCTAATGAGACTTTTCTTGTCTAACATTTCTTCACATTCCTTTAAAAATTGTTGGCAGATGCAATTCAGAAGATCTTAAAAATCAGTCAGTAATTGAAAAGTATTGACTTTGTAATAATGAAGTTATTAGAATTTTAAGGAGAGAAAAGAGTTATAAAGAATACTTAGCATGTACATTGAAAGCTTTACTTTATAAAGTCTTTTCATTTGTTTCTCCTAATTGCCTTGTGATAGTGAAAAAAGCTGTATTCCTGTTACATGGGAGGTCACACATGATCAGTTCTAAAGCAGATTCTATATTGTGGCTAACTTTGGTGGCACTTACAGTGGTCACTGAATCCAGACTTCAAAAAAATACATTAATATTATATGTTAGAATTTTCTAAAGGGAAAAGAAAGGTATGTAAGGATCCATCTTTGAGGAGGATGAATATTATCATTCTCCATAAAGAACCTTACAAAAGTTTCTAATGACAGTGACCATAATTAGTCTTAAAAAGTAAAAGACATATTTTAAAAGACAGATTTAAAATACCAGGCATTAAAATAATTAAAATACCTCGATGCAGATGTGATGCATTCCTCCAGCCTTGTTTTTCTGCAGAAAACCTGCAATTGGACTGTCACGTCCCAATGGATGAAGCAGTTCCATCTTGGTATTTCCCAGGTTGACAAAAACAACAGATACTCCATGTTCAGGAAGAGGGACCGCTTCACTTACCTGGGCCCCGAGAATATTCTTATAAAATGCTGCAGCCTTTTCCAAATCTGGCACTGCTATGGCTACATGATTGAGTCGATCCAGGTTCCACAAAGAACCTGCCACTTGATCCAAGGGCTGTGATGTGGAAGAAGCTCTTAATGTTGGAATGGGAGCTTGGAGTCTGGAAAAAAGCCCTGAAAAATTGAACAGCCATTGATATCCTTCTTTTGAGAATTAATACACTTCTAAATTGAATTTAAAAAACTAAACAAATAACACATGCAAAAATTCGTTATTTATATATCTATTCTTTTCAATTATTGAAATGAAACCAGGAGATAAATGGAAAAACTTACACCAGAATTACTCTGCTCTGCCCATTCAAATAACTGACTGGAATAAAAAAGCTAATTCTGAGCTGTAGTTAGATTTAAAACACAGAATAACATTTTTTCATAATGATTCATATTTACCGGTAACACTTAAAGAATAGTGGTATATTAAGAATTATTTGCTATTCTCTCTCTGCATTTCACAATGAAACAACATATTAATAAGAACAAGCAATTTCTCTACCTGTACCCAATTTTTTGTCTTATATTTTGTAATAAGTCCATTAAAGGTATAAACATACATTAAAAGAATACATACAGTACTCTTTAATGCTCTGTTGCCCAGCCTGAAGTGCTGGAGTGCAATAGTGTGATCTCAGCTCACTGCAACCTCCGCCTCCTGGGTTCAAGTGATTTGCCGGCCTCAGCCTCCCAAGAAGCTGGGATTACAGGTGCCCGCCACAATACCCAGCTAATGTCTGTGTGTGTGTGTGTGTGTGTGTGTGTGTTTGTGTTATATATATATTTTTTTGAGACGGAGTCTTGCTCTTTTGCCCAGGCTGGAGTGAAGTGGTGCGATCTGGGCTCACTGCAACCTCTGCCTCCTGGGTTCAAGAGATTCTCCTGCCTCAGGCTCCTGAGTAGCTGGAATTACAGGCGCCTACCACATGCCAGCTAATTTTGTATTTTCGGTAGAGATGGGGTTTCGCCATGTTGGCGAGGCTGGTCTTGAACTCCTGACCTCAGGTGATCCACCTGCCTTGGCCTCCCACAGTGACATGATTAGAGGTGTGAGCCACTGTGCCCACCCTAATTTTTGTATTTTTAGTAGAGACGGGTTTCACCATGTTGGTCAGGCTGGTCTCAAACTCCTGACCTCAGGTGATCCACCCACCTTGGTCTCCCAAAGTGCTGGGATTATAGGCGTGAACCACCATTTCGGCCAGTTTTTAGCATTTTTAAAATTCACTATCACTGTGTCCTCATCAGATAGTTTCTTGATTTCCACAGACAACTCTGCATTCCATTCATTCAGCAAAGAGTCATTGTATGTCATTAACAACAAGAATGGCCTGAATTTACTGTGCACCTACTGTCTGGCACTGTATTTATTTTTTTACACCAACTGTCTAATATTCACAACAAACCTACAAGTTAGAAACTTAGTAAGTTTCATTGTTACCATGAAATCCAAGTGGATTACAACCCAGTACACATATACATAAATGTACAATTGAAACTAAATTGCAAAAAAAGAATACCTTCCACCTCAGCCTCCTGAGTAGCTGGAACCATAGGCAAGAGCTACCATGCCTGGCTAATTTTTGTATGTTTTGTAGAGATGGGGTTTCACCATGTTGCCCAGGCTGGTCTTGAACTCCTGGGCTCAAGTGATCCTCCCACCTTGGCCTCCCAAAGTGCTGGGACTACAGATGTGAGCCACCACACTAGGCCAGTGAAAATGCTTTGAAATAGATAAACGTGACAGTTGCACAAACCCAGTGAATGTAATAATTGCTGTTAAACTGTACTGTTTTTTCTTTTTTTGAGACGAAGTCTTGCTCTCTCGCCCAGGCTAGAGTGCGCTGGTGTGATCTCAGTTCACTACAACCTCCACCTCCCGGGTTCAAGCGATTCTCCTGCCTCAGCCTCCTGAGTAACTGGGATTACAGGTGCGTGCCACAACACCCGGCTAATTTTTGTATTTTTAGTAGAGATGGG